CTCTAAAATCCATACAACACTACTTAATGAGATGTTATGAGTGGAAAGATATCTCAGTATTACTTCTGCCTTCAATATACATAACAATACATAGATCACTGCCATGATCCTGTACATCCTGAAAAGTATACACATAACTTAAATGCCTAAAAATAACAAGCATTGTTACTTGATATTCTCTGCAAGAATAGCAGTCCTATTTAAAAATTATTTTTAATAAATTATTTTTAATGACTAATAATGCATATTAGAAAACCACTTTGTAACTCCTATAATACAATTTTCTATTAACTCAATGCCAACAGGCATGGCATGTACGTACATGCCCATTTTTTATTTTAGATAAAAATAACACCATCAATACTCATAACATTAGTAAAAAATACATTATTCCATCCAATGTAAGGAAAAGTGAAATCAGGTGAGGTCACAAGGTCTACTAAATGACTCCTTTGTGGCTAAGCACTAGCAGACCCATCTATGTGCAGAGACATTTCATAAAAATATAAAAAATGAGTATAGCATTTTTCCCATTTTTCATTCATTTTCCCTGGCAGCATTGGGTTAACAGAATAGTGAAGGCATCATACTTACCGTCAAATGTTCCATTCCAACAAGGTTATGAAACCTGTGGAGTATGCTTGGCAAGGGCTCAGCAGCAGTCTCTGTCTCTCCAGTGGCAATGACAGCAGGAGGATCTCCAAAAAGGATGGATACAGCACCTCCATCATCAGAAACAAGAACTGGTGAGCTTGTATCTTCTCCAGTCTCTTGTGTTATCATCTTCAGGGCCTTCTTGGTAGATGTTCGGACCTGAAATCAAATCCACAGAATGAAAAGCTAATGTTTAGGATCCTTTCCCAACTTCATATCTTCATTCACAGTGCCATCTCAGGAAATTATTCATCTGCTTCTGAACAGCAAAACAGAAAATGGATCCCCACCTTGACAGACCTATAAACAGCAGTGACATTTGGGAAGACCTCCTGGCACTTCTTAGCCCAATCATCTGCTGCGACACGACAGCACTCGCCATCATCTATTGCACCCACCACCTCTTGCGGCATTCTGGCTGCTGCTAGGGCCTCTTCTGCCAACAACAACATCTGCTTTTTATCCTCTCCTTCCCCAAGACACACTGAGGCACACTCTTCTTCTTTTCTCAAGAGCTGCTGGATGCTCCTGTTAACCTTTATCAATGCAGTGAGTTCTTGAACAAGGTCCTGGTGTTCTACCACCCATTCGCCTAAGCTATTCTTGTACTTTTTGAGTTCAAGCAGCATATCCTTGCAGCTGGATAAGCTAGTCTTCAAAAGAGCCTCTTGCTCTTCTTGAATCAGGATGATCTTTCTCTCCTCTTCACGAGACCTCCCACCCAGGGTTGACATCCTCATCTTGTTTATCAGCTCTTCTAGCTCGTAAGCAAAAGGGAAGTTTGTTACATCCGAACAGGTGTGCCTGGCTCGACAATTTGGGCAAGTGAGCATTCCTTGCCTTATGAGGTCCTCAATGCAAGAGGAGCAGAAGCTATGGCCACACGGAAGATTTCGAGGCCTTTTCTCACAGTCATTATAGGCGTCTAGGCATACTTTGCACTCCTTTAAGAGAATGTTTACATTTAATACACATAAAAAGTCCTCTTTCATGAAAGAATTGGAGATATTGCATTCAGTATGGATAAAAAGTTCTTACTGATTGAAAATTTGAAAATTAGAATTGTATCATTATAAAATACAACACATTTTTGTGATGATTACAAAGTTTTAGATTTTCATGGTAATATTTTCTATATATTCAGAAATACATGCTATGCAAGTTTGTCTGTGTAAAAAAAATATAATAATAATAATAATGATAATGATAATGATAATAATAATAATAATAATAATAATAATAATAATAATAATAATAACAATAACAATAACAATAATAATAATAATAACCAGATGAATAATAAAGGTAATATTAATTACTATCATCATAATAAAAATAATAATATTAAAGAAAGAAAGAAATAGATTTTTTAAATTCCCTTTCCCATACTGAAAATGAAGAAAACTGTGGAAAAAATGTATAAATCTAAATATCTTTTTAGTCTAAAATACATAAAAAGTGTCCTTTGGATACCAATGAAAGTCAAAACTTCCTTCTGCATTTTCTATGCAACAGTAACAAATGAACCGATGTCTAAAATAAGTGAATTAAAATCAAATAAATGTATGAACTAAAATAAATTAATGAACCTATGTCTAAATGAACTAAAATGAATAATGTCTGAATGAACTAAAATAAATGAACCTGTCTAACATTATCTTTATCTTGAGAGTTAACACTAAAATCAAATAAATGTATGAACTAAAATAAATTAATGAACCTATGTCTAAATGAACTAAAATGAATAATGTCTGAATGAACTAAAATAAATGAACCTATGTCTAAAATTATCTTTATCTTGAGAGTTAACACTATTCATTTTGTTACAAATTAATTTCAGTAAGGTCTACAGCACCAACAAGCATTTATACAGGTATATAATGTGTATATTAAAACTGTTACTTTTAAAATAAAGCCTTATGAAATTACTCTTTTACCAGCAAATGATTTTTTTTTTTTTAATGCAACTAATTCTTGTCTGAGTTTTAGGATTTTATCATAATCATTCTCTGGCACAAACTTTTACAATAAAACTATGCTATGCTGTCATATTTAACTTTAAGAAACTTGGAAATGTCTTTTGATATCTACATCTGTTCACATACATCTCTTTCTTTCTTTCTTTTGTATAATACTGTTATTCTTTAATTTTTGAAAGGGGGGCCTGGCATAATATTTTATAATATATATATAAGACAGACATTCTTATTCGTAACTCTGCTTTTGGTTAATCTCCAAAACATCTAAACTGCAGTTCATCTCTTACCATACTTTCTTCCAAACCCTTTCAGGATTTTTCTTTGAACTGCATCAACTGATGCGCTGCTCAGCTCTGTTGGTACCTAAGCCTTGCCACTTGCCACCATTCCCTGCCAACTGCTCTGAAATGGTAGTTTACACACCAGATATCAAATAATTTCTTAATTATCTATATATTAAAGTTACTTTAAAATGACTTTTAGAGATCCATCACTTGCATCTTTCTGCAACTATACCAATATGCAATTTCCTGCCCGACCGAGCAAAATCTTAAGGAATTAAAAGATACTGTTTAAATATCTTTGCTTTGTTATTGTTGAAATATCTAATTAAGTAATTATTTCCAAAGCAGCTCTCCCTCTGCAAATGTTCTCCATGCTGTTGGTGGTCCTGAAAAGGCCAACAAATCTCCCTCACACATTGAACTTGCAGACCTGTGCAACCTTGCAATCTATCACCTAATAAGGTACCAATCCAAGTTCAAACTTGTCAGAAAATGAACATACTGAAAGCAAAAGCTATTTAATAAGTTTTTAAGAGATGAGCGAAGCATGAAGACCGCGGCCAGAGTTACTTGACCTGGTCACAGTTCCTTAGAATTATTTTATTCATGAAATGTAACTCCCAACTAAACCCTAGAAAAAAATAATAACAATAAATAAACCATAAATAAAGCATCATCAATAAATATATCATCTTCATAAACATAGGATCAATAACGAGCAACCAAATATCAAGTTCTGACACTTTAGCTGTTTTTACGCGAATTTCAGCTTCCTGTCTTTACAAATTATGCTGAAGGAATGCACGCGAACACTGCCACACCCACCACGAGGCCGTCAGCTGATCCCGTAAACAACGACGGATCAGCTGATTCGGTAAACATTGGCAGATCAGCTGATTCGGTAAACAATGGCAGATCAGCTGATTTGATAAACAGTGCTAGATGAACTGATTCATTAAACAGCTGATAGATCAGCTGAGTCGATGGACAGTAATGATCAACTGATGCTACAGACAGCAACAGGACAGCTAATTAAATATTTATATATGACCAGCTGATCCGGTAAACAGGCAAATCAGCTGACTGAATAGACATGATGAACAGTTGTTGCTATGAATAGGTGAATAACTAATGAAATATGATCAGTTGTTCCAGTAAACAATGACAAATCAGTTGACTCGATAGACAGATGTTGTATATCAAATGATACTTGATTTAATCATCACTGCTCCCAGGTCCTCTCTCACCCAGAGAGGTAGCACCTGAAAGGATCCCAGATATGGCGTTACCTATCCTAATGTTGGGCAGCAACATTAGTAACTAATACTGGCGGTAGAACCATTTCGATGGTTAACGGTAGTTCCAAGTAGACAGGTCATTTATCATGACTTTGGTTGCTGTTCTGCGGGTGGAGTATTTCTGGGGGCCTGCTTCACCTCTCAGCCATCAGCGGTGAATTAGCCTTTCCTGGCTAATTCAGAGTGAGGGGAGGATTGTTCTGGCCAGGAATACCGACGGGGTGCAGCGGGTGGCGCCTTGCCGTTCGGTAACGCGAAGATAGCCACCGTGATGCCGTAACGCGAAACGGCCGCACCATCATGCCGACACGCCAAGAAGGTCACCATGATGCCCGGAGTACCGCGGGTGGCAGCCACGCCATGCCGAAGGCTACAAAGGGGGTCACCGTGATGCCTGATTCACGGGAACTTTGCCGAGGGTGTTTTTTAAAGAGATTGACTGGAGCCAGCCCTCGGCAATCATCACCTCGGCTCCTACGTGTTGCCGGACGCTTCGGCGCCCACCCCTCGTTGCTGCCGCGACGCTATTTGCCTGCTGTGCATTTAGCTTCGTGCCCTATAGCCTATACTTTCCTTTACGGATTTTTCGGCATTAGGATGACTCTCTGTGCACCTTCTGGTGAACTGGACCCCATCTTCGGGCGCGTGCTCGGACGTGGGCAGACCTTTACCTCCCGCAGGGGAGGGTGTGTCTGGGGGGCCTTAGCGTGCCTGCCTTACGGTGCACAGAGAGTTGCCAATCTTTTTGCTAGGGACTGGTCTGGCAGACCATTTAATGACTGCCACTCTAGTTATTCGTTTAGGGCGATAGGCAGGTAGGAGCCCCCCCCCCCCTTTTGGCATTAGCTCTGTCGAAATAGCTGCTGCTAGACAGAACACTGCCTTATTTTGCCGCCACTGGAACCACCTTGAAAGTTAGCTTCTCTCCCTCACTGTGGTGAAGCAGCAGCCCTTGGGCGGCTGCTTCTGAGGGTTGTAGGGGCTTACTTGAAAAGGTGCAGCACTCCCCCTTTCTCACTGTGGTGAAACAGCCCTTGGGTGGCAGTTTCAGAGGAAGGAGGAATTCACTTTGAAAAAGGTTCAGGCCCTCTCCTCCCTCACTGGTGAAACAGCCTTTGTGTGGCTGTTTCAGAGGGATGAGAGGAACTAGCTGGAAAAAGTGAAAGAGCTCCATCCCTCACTGAGGAGAAGCAACCTTTGGGTGGCATCTTCTGAGGGATGAGCAAAGGGTTCCAAACAATGATGTTCAGTAGGTGGAAGAACATCCCCTCTGGTCTCTCCCCAGGGGTTAACACCTACACTGGCTCCTACAATGCTTTTTTGTCCCGCCACTGGAACCACCTTGAAAGGTAGCCCCTCACCCTCTGTGGAAAACAGCCTTTGGGTGGCTGCTTCCTGAGGGCTGAACGAGCCTCCCTGATAAAAGGTGCAGGACTCCTCCTTTCTCGCTGGAAAGAGGAATTCACTTTGAAAAAGGTTCAGGCCCCCTCCTCCCTCACTGTGGCGAAAATTCCGAGGGAGGAGAGGAACTAACTGGAAAAAGTGAAAGAGCTCCATCCCTCTCTGAGGGAAGAGCACTAGGGTTCCAAACAATGATGTCCTGTAGGTTGAAGGGCATCCCCTCTGGTCTCTCCCCAGGGGTTCACACCTACCCACGCGTTTGCCGTGCGTGGCAGCCTTGTGCGCTGGGAGACGGGAGTCCTGGAGTCTGAGCGACGCCGTGAATGAGTACGCCCTGCGGCTAGCAACACGCCTCTTTGGTCCTCTATTCCAGCAAGACAGGCGACCTGATCCTGGCCCGGTCACGGTCAATCGGTTGGTTTCCCATGGGAGGCTAGGGCCAAGCAGTCATGCCTCCATTGGCACTCACAATGGTCCGTGAGTGCCGCCACAATGGTTATTGGCTGCGTATATCCTCTCATCACCCCTGTGGCTGTCAGACACTGGCTCTGACACACAGCTTCCCCTTGTTGGACTCCGTGGTGGGTGGGGGCGTGAGAGGATGAAGCACTTACCATTATATGGAAAAATTAAATAACCCCCCCCCCCCCCAGACTGAGATAAACGTTGACGACCCATGCAAGGCCCAGACCACGGCAACCACCCTGGAACCATTCCTGGTTCCAGATGGTGGATTAGTCCATCAAATGGTGAAAAAGATGGACTCTCGCGCTGGACCAGCCGAACCAGCAGCTGCTGCCCCCACGAACAAGCCCCCCAGCCGAAAGGGCGCACCGAAGCGACCAAGGCCGGAGACAGACTCTGATGGAGAGTCTGGACCCAGCAAAAGTCGCTTCACCCAGTTCAAGGTCCCAGCCAAACCCGAAGGCTTCGACAATGCCTACCAGTTGGTCAGAGCATTGGAGTTGCACAGACAAATCCGGCTCTCAATCCGAGTTGCCAAAGACCAGGGCATGATCATAGTGCCGAAAGATCATGCCACCCAGAACTTCCTTCGGGAAATCAGGGAACTAAAAGATGGGAGAAAAGTGAGCCTTTCCCCATTAACGCCCGAGGATAAGAGAACCAAGATGGTGCTACTTGGCTTCTCAGTCTCGTACGATGTGGAGCTAATCACTTCGCATCCTCAGGTGGTGGAGGCTTCCCGAATGGCAGTAGGGAAGACTCCAACCAGGCAAGTCCTGGTGACACTGATAGGTGCCCTAACCGCTACCCTTGATCTGGGTAACTGGGGCACCTACAAGCTGAGGACCTATGTGCCTGAACCACTTCGGTGTTTCAAGTGCCAAAAATACGGTCACCACCAGGCTAACTGCACAGCCAAGCCTAAATGTGGTGTCTGTAGTAAGGCACACAACACCGAGGTATGCCTCACGGCCCACAAAGAGAAAAAGGAGACAACAGCCAAATGTCCCAACTGCGCCAAGAGGCATCACGCCTGGAGCCTGACTTGCTCTGTCAGGAAAGAGGCGGCCCTCAAGCGACAAGAGATTGCTGAGAAGCGATCAGATTTCATTCCTGCCCCCCCAGGCACTCATGTGTGGGGCAGGAAGAAAAGTGAAAAGGCCTCCCGACCTCCTAAGAGGAAGGAGGCCGCCCCACAGCCGACACCGGACGTCTCCAACCCAACGGAGTTTCTGGACATGCCGAAACAGAAAAAGAACCAAAGGAAGAAAGGTTCTAAGAAGGCAGAAAAGCCCTCGTCAAGAGATGACGATCTCTTTGACGAGGCAGACATGACTCTGCTCGTGACTGCTGTGGTGACAGCAGTGGCGACAGCCCTAGGGAGGACAAGGGAAGAGGCGGAGAAGGCAGTGACGGTCGCCATGACGGCAATGACCAAAACTGTCGCGATCCTTAAAGGCAGAAAGCAGGCTCAAGCACAACCAGCGTCTGCCTCTGTTCAGGACGAGACTCCCCTCCCAGCTCCAACCCAGGCAAGCCCATCGCAGGCAGAGCCACAACAAGCCGAGTCTGCAGAGCCAGAGCCAGAACGTGCTGAGCCTGCCCCGGCAAGGCCAGCCAAAAGAAGTGCAGACAGGCCTGCGAGAAAAGCCAAAGCCTCCAAAGTCAAAGCTATCAAAGGCTCTCCACCCCCCAGTGGACCCACGGTTAACCTGACTTCAGACAAAGAACTCTCAGCCGAAGAGGACTTCGCGATGTTGGGGTCCGATTGTGACGGGGTCTCAGATGTAACTATCGACTAGTAACATCATTGCACACAATCTAAGCATCCTACAGTGGAACATAAATGGCTTTTCCGGAAGGAATGCCATGCTCCAAGCAGTAGTGCGATCAAGGAGCATCGACGTTGTCATGCTCCAGGAGACACGAACGGCGGACACTGTTCGCTTCGCAGGGTATCACACGTTCACGCTGCCACAAACGCCTGGCAAAAGAGGCCTGATCACCCTTGTCAAAGCAACAATCCCCTGCTCCGCAATAGCCGATGCACCGCACTGTGGAGAAGAGACAGAATCTCTCGAGATCCACCTGGCCGGGGGGCCCCTCAAACTGTACAACGTGTACAACCGGCCAGGCTGTAGTAGCTTAGATATTAGCCAGGTCTGTGCGTCTGCTGCACAAGACCGAGTGATCATTGGGGGAGACTTCAATGCACATCATCCCATCCTAGCTCCCTGCCGGGGACCGGATGCGGCTGGCCTCCACATAGCCAGCGTGCTGGAGACGTTCCACGAGATCGCTCTCCTCAACACCAGAGAGCCAACGCATGTCGGCGGTGGGGTACTAGACCTCACCCTGGTCACTGCGACTCTGGTGGAGGCTGTCAGGGATGCCAAGGAAACTGCCAGCAGAGTCAGGCAGGAGACATGGTTGGAATGGTGTGAGTCCTTCAGCCACCAAACCACCGTCTCAGAGCTGTGGCAACGGGTCAGGCGAGCTACCAGCCGCTCAGCCCCGAGACGAACGCACTACGACCCTCAAGCAGAGGCAAACAGACTGGCGCACCAGTTCTCTGAGAGAACAAGCAGCAACAGTCTACCAGCTGAGCTGAGGGCCAAACAAGAAAGCCTGAAAGCAGACAGACTTGCTCAGATCAGAGAAAGGGCAGCCGAAGCCGATAACTCAGACGTTATCTTTTCTCTGAGGGAACTCCGAAAAGCATATAAACTCAGTTCAAATACAGCCCCGGGCTCTGATGGGATCACGTATCCCATTATCTCCCGCCTAGGACGTGAAGGTGAACTTGCACTCTTGCAGCTCATCAACAAGTCCTGGGAATCTTCCTCTGTACCGCAGAGCTGGAAGAGGGCTACCATAGTTCCCATCCCAAAAGCCAAGGAACCCGGGAATTACCGCCCCATCTCCCTCCTCAGCTGTCTGGCCAAGACGGCCGAGAGGATGGTACTGAACCGGCTCCTGTGGAAAATGGGACCCCCGCACGAACACCTGTACGGGTTCACCAGGGGTATGAGCACTGCACACAGCCAAGCCACGCTCTTGAGCACAGTGAGCACAACCTCAGCCGTGGCAGTATTCCTGGACCTGGAAAAGGCCTTTGAACTAGCAAGCCCTCTTGCTATTCAGGAGGCCCAGGCCCAGAAGGGAATCCGAGGAAAGCTCTTGGCTTGGATAGGTGACTACTTTAGGAACAGAACTGCCAGAGTGAAGTTCCAGGGTCACCTATCGCAGCACTTGCCACTGGAAAATGGGACACCGCAGGGTGGGGTTCTCAGTCCAACCCTGTTTAACGTACTCATGTCCTGTATCCTCAACATGAACCTCCCGTCGGGATGCAAGATCGTCTCGTATGCGGACGATCTCGCCATCACCGCCATTGGGACACAATGCCTAAGTAAAGCCCAGCGTTGTCTGGACCTTGTGTCCGAGGAGTGTTGCAGGACGGGACTTAAGATCTTAGCAGCCAAATCTAAGGCCATGGCTCTGGGAAAACGAGTTCAAGGCACAAATCTGAGGATCCAGGGAGTAGACTTGGAATGGGTCCCGGTGTTCCAATACCTTGGGGTATGGATAGACCGGACCCTCTCCTTCCGGCAGGAGACCAAGTACCTGGTCGACCGATGCAAAGCAAGACTGAACGTCATGAGAGTAATGACTGGGAGACGCATAGGAGCCAGACACAAAGTACTAAGAGCCTTCTACGTACATGCTGTCAGGCCCATTGTGGACTACGCTTCAGTCGCCCTAATTGGCAGAAAGAAAAAATACAGAGAAAAATTGGAAACAGTCCAAAACGAAACTGCCAGAATCATTCTGAGTGCCCCGAGGTGGTCAAAGGTTCCCAACCTCCTGATGGAGACCAACCTTTTCCCCCTGGACTCACGAATCGATCAAATGGCAG